CCAGGGCCTTGCCCCCTGCATCGGACCGTAGTCCGGAAACTGCATCGGACCGAAGTCTGGAACTAACCAGGGCCTTGCCCTCTGCATCGGACCGGATTCCGGAAACTAACTGAACATAGCATAGCATAATCATAACTACTAGCATAAACACATATACGACATACTGCATCAGACCGAAGTCCGGAAACTAACTAAACATAGCATAGCATAATCATAACTACTAGCATAAACACATATACTGCATACTGCATCGGATCGAAATCCGAAACACATAACACAAAGACATACTTGAATCACAAAGACCTCAAGCACAGTGAACTACTGCATCAGAGCGAAGTCCGGAAATACTGCTAACTAAACGGGCCGACATTATGGCCATAGACCCGTTCCCACTGGAAGGAAGACTCACCTTGTACGACTGACTGCTAAAATGCTGATCGGGAACTGTCTGACTGCTGCTGCAGTAGCTCACTGGCTATAATTCCCATAAAAACACTTAATCAAACACTGATAACTAATCTTAGGGTAGAATGACTATTTTACCCTCTTGGTCAAGGTCAACGTCCTGGTCAAAGTCAACTTCCAGTTGACCTGACTAACCGAGTTGGTCCGCCAACTCGTCGAGTCCTTATCCTTCCTTCTATTCCCCCACCCGACACTACTCGTCGAGTTTGGCAAATACTCAACGAGTTCTCCTTCTACATTAATGTCGAGTCGACCTTCAACTGACTCACCAAATTGTATGAACAACTCGTCGAGTTCCCCTTCAACATAAGAATAAACCCAGTCTATGACTCGTCGAGTCGTATGAACAACTCGTCGAATTCATCTGCTTCCAGATCCAAGTCTTAACTCCTTGAGTCCTTACTCTTCTTACTACACAAACTCGCTACTACTGAACCGGGAGTCTAAGACTCGCGACCTGACTCGCCGAGTCAGAAGAACGACTCACCGAGTCCTTTGCATGCAGATTCCATACAGTCGATTCTAATCAACTTTAGTGCATCCAATTCGTAGATCTAAGCTTCTGGGACTATCTGAACATGTAAAGTTGCTAACTTTACGTGTATCTAAGATGCAATGAAGCAATAACACTCAAACTATGCTATTATGGGGGTTATTAGACCAAAACAAAGCCATGACTGCCAAAAGGTGGTCTCCTTGAGCTTTTGGAGCTCAAGAGAGACTAGATCTGAGATATGACTTGATCACAAGGCTTTATCACAAAGGATTTTGGGTTTTTGAGCTTAAAACCAACAATTTGGGAACAAACTAGATCTATTAGAACAATAATCAAGATGGAAACTTCATTACCAGAAGGGATGGCCAAAGAGGAGTGTATTCTGGATCTACTTCTTCTTCCTTGATCTCTTCCACCTTCTCCTTCTTCTCCTTGCTCCAGAATGCACCAAAAGCTCCTTCACAAGGCAAAGATCACTCACACACACTTCAAGAAGGCTAGGGTTTCAGGAATAAGTCTCTGGGAAGTGAAGGAGGCTGGTTTGGGGCTATAATGAGGTTTAAATAGGGTGCAAACCCTTGAAATTAGAGTTTCATCCAAACTGGAAGACTCGCCGAGTCCAAGAATATGGACTCATCGAGTCGCCAACTTAAACCACGTGCAAATCCCGTCTCTACTCGACGAGTCGAGTTACTGACTTGTCAAGTACCCCTCAAGAATGAAAATTACTTTATTTAAATCACATACCAGGAATGGGAGTTACAGATCAAGTACCTCCCATGAAATGCTAACGTGGTAGCCGATGCCCTGAGCAGGAAAAAATACTCAGGTCGCTGGGTAAAGACATTATCGGTAATCATCCACTCCCACCTAACCTCACAGATCAAGGGGGCCCAATCAGAGGCATTGAAGCTGGAGAATCCCACAAATAAAACGTTGTGTGGGATGGATAAAAACCTTGAAGCTAAAGATTATGGAGCTTACTGCTTCATGAATAGAATTTGGGTCCCAAAATTTGGGGGATTCAGAGAGATAGTCATGAATGAGGCACATAAAACGCGATATTATGTTCATCCAGGTTCGGATAAAATGTACCTAGACATCAAACAACATTATCGGTGGCCAAATATGAAGGCAGAGATCGTCACTTATGTGGGCAAGTGTCTTACTTGTGCCAAAGTGAAAATGGAGTATCAAAATCCCTTGGGGTTATTACAACAGCCAGTGATACCCGAGTGGAAATGGGAAGGGATTTCAATGGACTTCATAACCAAATTACCTAAGACAGCGGACGGATTAGATGTTATCTGGGTGATTGTCGATAGGTTAACCAAATCCGCCCATTTCCTGCCATTAAAGGAATCATACAAGATGGAAAGATTAACACGGATCTATATTAAAGAGATCGTGAGACTTCATGTGGTGCCACTATCTATTATATCAGATCGAGATAGTAGATTACTTCACGGTTTTGGCAGTTACTCCAGAAGGAAATGGGAACACAACTAGACATGAGCACTGCTTACTACCCTCAAACCGATGACCAGAGTGAACGAACCATTCAAACACTTGAAGACATGCTCCAAGCCTGTGTGATTGATTTTGGCAAATCATAGGATACCCACTTGCCCTTAATTGAGTTCTCGTACAACAACAGTTACTACACGAGCATAAAGGTTGCACCTTTTGAGGCTTTATATGGTCGCAAATGCATATCATCTCTCTACTGGGCTAAGGTGGGTGACACCCAGTTGGCAAAAGGGCAATCACCAAGAAGCACTCTTACAGGACCAGAGATCATTCGAGAAACGACAGAGAAGATAGTCCACATCAAAGCACGACTCCAAGCATCGTGTGACCGACAAAAGAGTTATGCTAACACAAACATTTCAAACCGTTTTTCGAAAAATATTGGATTTTCTGGCAGTTACAAAGTAATACAAAACAATTTACTTAAACATGCTTATGAACTTACCAATATTATATATGTCGACCTTTTTAAATTAAGTTGTATTCTCAAGAAATCGTTAAGCAGGTTGGTCAGCAAGAATACCTGGATAATTTGTTGTGTTTTGCTTTCATCATACTTTAGATATTTTGGCATGTAATATTGAAATACAATAATTGATGTAAACAATGACAATTGTAATATTATGTGTGTGATGATGATGATGATGATGATGATGATGATGATGATGTTTTGTTTCAATTATATACATTGAGATGATACTACAAGAATGAAGTAACTCAAGCCCTTGACGTTTCCGTCGTCTGGTTTGGGGGTGTGACAGTAGGTTTGATGTTCCTTTCACAACAAAAATATGTTGTGGAAATTCTAAAAAGAGCAGGCTTCAGAAATTGCAAACCTCTTCCAACATCGGTTGACTCATCCGGAAAAATTAGCGCCAACACGGCGAACTTTTGAAGAATCTGACAAAATTTTGGTAGCTAGCGGGGGTGCTTCAATATCTCACTTTTACACATTTGGACATTAGCTATGTGGTTCAACAAATTTGCATGCGTATGCATGCCCCTCTAGTTACCCATTTCACGGCCATCAAAAGAATACGTCGATGCATTTGTGGCACGATAAATCATGGCTTAACACGTACCGGTTCCTATACTACATCACTTTTATCCTACACAGATGCTGATTGGGCGGGTTATCCTTTCTTGGTCCTCCAAACGGTAGACCACTATTACCAGATCAAGTGCCGAAGCCGAATACCGAGGGGTGGCAAACGTCGTCTCTGAATCTTGTTGGCTACGAAATCTTTTATGTGAATTACATCATCCCCTTCGCAAAGCAAACATTTTTTTACCGTGATAACGTGAGTGATGTTTATTTGTCAACCAATATGGTTCAACATCAACGCACTAAACACATAGAAATCGACATCCATTTTGTTTGCGAAAGCTAGTGCTGAAGTTCGAGTCTTTCATGTGCCATCATGGTTTCAAATTGTTGACATCTTCACAAAGGGACTCTCACGCGTTCTGTTTGATGACTCCAGATCAACTCTCAACATGCGGCCACCTACCGTTTCGACTGCGGGGGTGTATTAGCCATATATTTTATATTAACCGTATATTTTGTATAATGATGAAATTTTTTGTAAATATTTTCCTAACTTAGATTAGGTCAACCATTCTTGTATTATAAAGATGATTAAGATTGGTGGAATAATATACGGAAGATTTTATCAACTTTCAATTACCATCTTTTATTTATCTTTCTTTCTTCACACAAAAAAAATATCATAGGTCAACATATTTAATTTACAAAATGAAAAATTTAGCCTTGAACATCTGGTCAAAACAGTAGGCTATGATACGATTGGGCCAACCCCACTAATGGGTTGTTAGATGCTCTTGTGGCTATATGGTTTGCTGAGAAAGTAAATTGGAGTGCATGAAGACATGAAGTGCTGCTATTGTGCTGGCCCTGGACCGAGAAGCCCAACACTATTAGGTCTATTCCAGTTGGGCCGATGGTGTTCTGTGGAGAGGGGACAACAAGGGCGTGACTCGAATCCTCTATTTTATGATGCAATGTGTTATGTGCGGAGAATAGTTCTCTTTCTATACAGAAAATCTTATTGGGTTGTGGTGGAACTTCAACCATGGAAGCCGTGAACCTGAGAAAAAGATGACCAACTTAGTGTTATGGAGGGAGAAGACCGTTAGAGAAGGAAAGAGATGATATTTAAGAAAGAAAGAGAGAAGAGATTAGACATTAGATTTTTCTTTTTAATTGGCAAAAATATGTATACAAGTAAACAACACATATATAGATATGAACAAATACATAAGCTAATTAATTTGACTACATAGGTAATACCTATTCATTTTACAAAAAATAAAAATAAAAATTGAAAATTAAAAAAATCATATATACCTAATATAAGTTTCATTTTCTGTTTTATATTTCTAAAAAATTATCATCCATTTAAGTGAATCTAATTCGAAAACGAGGGATGGGTCATGTAAAATGAAAGAAGATCGGGGGCAAATCAAAATTCTTGAATGTAAGAATTCGCATGAATCGGGTTTAATTACAACCAAAGAAAACAACAAACTACCGTAAACCACCACCTCACAGTGTCCCTTCAATTTCGAATCTCACTCATCACCACCACTATATCACCTTCCACCACCCTATTCCCACACCCTCACACCACCACTCTCTTTCTCTCTCTAGACTCCCCCAACCTGAAAATGGAGGGAACGCATGAAGACGTAGGCAGCTTCGTCGGAAACAAGGACGCCACCCTGGGCCGCCACCTTGCCCGGCGTCTCGTGGAGGTTGGCATCACTGATATCTTCACAGTTCCCGGTGATTTCAACCTCACCCTCCTCGACCACCTCATCGCAGAACCCCGCCTGAAAAACGTTGGATGCTGCAATGAGCTGAATGCAGGGTACGCCGCAGACGGGTACGCCCGGTCCCGCGGTGCTGCCGCCTGTGCGGTGACTTTCACCGTCGGTGGTTTGAGCGTCCTTAACGCAATCGCAGGTGCTAACAGCGAGAATCTTCCAGTTATCTGTATCGTGGGTGGACCAAATTCTAATGATTTTGGAACTAATCGGATCCTCCATCATACGATCGGAATCCCGGATTTCAGCCAGGAGTACAGGTGTTTCCAGACGATTACTTGCTTTCAGGCAGTGATTAGTCATTTGGAAGATGCTCATGAACAAATCGATAGGGCCATCTCCACCGCTATCAAAGAAAGCAAACCGGTTTATATCAGTGTCAGTTGCAACCTGCCCGGCATTCCTCATTCCACCTTTTGCGAGGAGCCCATCCCCTTCTCCCTCTTTCAACGGTAATGAACATCGCTTTTATACTTATTAATTCCTTTTTTGTATTTTTTATCATAAACTTATATTATTAGATGATTATACCGAAAGTAACTGTTTATATGATTAGGTTCTATTTAATTAAATGTAATTTTATTAAAACAATCATTCTTTAAATTAAAAGATTACCTTTAACACAAAATTTTATATAAATATTATGTATATTTATTATTAAAAAAAATATTAGATAGATATACACTCCACATATATTATTATCTACATATGCATATGCATGCACAATCACTATAAATAATAAACTAAAAATGTATAAAATTCAAAGTTAGAATAACCAAATCAAATTTGGTTTAAATGAATAATATATGTGATAATCGAGTATGTTAACATCTCATCAAATTTGTAAAAAATATGATGATTGTTGATTGATGTAGGACGAGTAACCCGGCAGGATTAGAACAAGCAGTGAAAGCGGCCGCCGAATTCCTCGACAATGCTGTTAAGCCAGTATTGGTCGGCGGTCCAAAACTACGTGTGGCAAAGGCTCAACAAGCCTTTGTCGAATTTGCAGACGCAAGTGGATACGCGCTTGCCTTAATGCCCTCGGGTAAAGGAATGGTACCCGAGACCCACGAGCATTTTATGGGGACCTACTGGGGTGCAGTCAGTACTTCCTTCTGTGCGGAAATTGTCGAGTCCGCTGACGCGTATCTTTTCGCGGGACCCATTTTCAATGACTATAGTTCGGTCGGCTACTCTTTACTGCTTAAAAAAGAAAAAGCAGTAATCGTGCAGCCGGACCGTGTGGTGGTTGGAAACGGTCCGGCTTTTGGGTGTGTTCTCATGAAAGAATTTCTTGAAGAACTTTCAAAAGTGATCACCAAAAATACTGCGGCTTTTGATAATTATCAACGGATACATGTTCCGGATGGTGAACCGGTCCCGGGTGAGCCCACTGACCCATTGAGGGTCAATATATTGTTCCAACATATACAAAAAATGTTGACCTCTGACACTGCGGTGCTTGCTGAGACTGGGGATTCGTGGTTTAACTGTCAGAAATTGAAGTTGCCAGATGGATGTGGGTAGGTAACTAATAACCATTATTTTCTTTATATTTAATTTTCGGGTGGTTTGATGTAATCGATGCATATAAAGAGGGAGAAAAGTGTGTGTTATACTTCCAGGTATGAATTCCAAATGCAGTATGGTTCGATCGGGTGGTCTGTTGGTGCGCTTCTTGGTTATGCTCAGTCTATACCGGATAAACGGGTCATTGCTTGCATCGGTGATGGTAGTTTCCAGGTATTTTAAAATATTAAATGGCCCTAAAAATTTTTGGGATTTGGGAGTGGGAGTTGTTGATGAATGTGGTTTTTTTTTTGTAGGTAACAGCACAAGACGTGACAACAATGATACGACAGGAGCAAAAGAGCGTAATATTTTTGGTTAACAATGGAGGCTACACCATAGAAGTTGAGATTCATGATGGACCTTATAATATCATTAAGAACTGGAACTATACTGGAGTTGTGGAAGCCTTTAACAATGATGATGGCAAGTTGTGGACTGCAAAGGTACGTAATAATTAGCTACTAGAATAATAATAATAATAATAAGTAGATTAAATACATTCGAATTGGAATTACATTTGATTTGTGGGATTAATTAATTGAATTAACAGGTGAAAAATGAAGAGGAGCTGATAGAAGCAATAGCAACAGCAACAGGGGAGAAAGAGGATCATTTGTGCTTTATTGAAGTGTTTGTTCATAAGGATGATACCAGCAAAGAGCTTCTGGAATGGGGTTCTAGAGTCTGCGCTGCTAATAGCCGCCCACCAAATCCTCAGTGATTTTCTTATCTTATTAATTATTATCGTATAAGTTATGAATTTTGGTTTTGTTTTGTTGGAGGGCTTTTTATTGTTTTTGCTTTAGAGGAGTGAGATAGTTTTTAATGTAGTAATGGGGCTAAATTTGAGGATATTCCGGCTATATTGGTCAAACAATGGGTGTTATTGACAATAAATATAATATAGTCTATATATTGAGGTTTCCACATACATCATGAATACAATCCAATGTGTGCTGTTCACATAAAACTCGAAATACTAATGGTTACATGTGTGATATGCAACATATTTTTTCTAGCAATAGTTGAAATGACTCGATCCAATGGGTGTTATCCACATCTAGTGTAGGATCATCAGAGAGCATCCGATTCTGGTTTGATTTTTAGAAGGGTTTGCTTGTGTTTTAAAATCTAACTGATTTTTAAAAGGGGATGAAGATCATAAATTTGGGTTAAAAGTTTAGAGAAGATGATCCAAGAATTGGTATCTCTTGTTTTAATTGTTTCAAGAGTTTGAAGATGAACGTCTCTACACAAGTATGTGATCGATTGTGAGATGTAAAGCGGATGTATTATAAATCATGTTTCTTGAAGACTAGCAAATTGATTGAATCATAAGGATTTTAACCTCTAAACTAGCGCAGAACGAAAATTATGCTTGAGGATGAGAAACACATGGCATAAACTGAAAAATAATTCAAATGAAGGAATGTTGATATAATCAGCAAACCATATTGAAAATATATCAGGGTGCTAACAAAACTCCATAGCCAAAAGTATCATCAACTACTACCGTAACAAGTACGGAAATTAGAGACAAAGACTATATAAAACATAAATTAAAACAGTAAAGCGACACCGGTAGAAGCAACGGAGACGATTCAGAAGATAAGCTTTCGTTCATCTACTTGGATCTCTGTCTCATCTTTCGACGCTTCCTCTTCAACCTCCTCATTCTCTTCTTCTTCCACTGCAAAATACAAACGCATAATAAACAAATATCAGATCAGAAATACCAAAATTTGAGGACGATCATAAATCTTGAAAGAGATTACTGATACGTGATGTTGAATCGATCGATTACCTTAGCTCTCATTGCGACGCCGGCTTGATTTCAGAGTTCCAAAGGAAGCGTCTAAAGGAATGGGACGGCGTTGGGAGCGTTTTGTGGTTAGTGGATGAAGGTTTATAGTGAAACCCTAGTTTGATTTTTCACTTGGGGCGGGTTAAAATGGATCGGTTATCATACCCGGGCAGTTCGAATATTACCAAACAGGACAATGGGAATTTGGGATGTCCAATGGATATTCGTAAAGGTGAATAAAAGTAACATAAATTAAATTACTCTTAGGGTTTGTTTGTTTATGTCTAACCGGGACCGAGTCAGCGATTTGGGTTGACTCGGTCAGACAATATGTGTTTGATAAGGTAGCTTTCTCATTCAGAAACAGCTGGCTCAAATGATTCTCGATCAGATCTTGAGGGGTTGCTGACTCAAAAAAATTACCTCCTTGCCCTCTTGTTTCTTTATTCCCATCGTGACCTAACAGAGAGACAGCAAAGAAATTGGTTGCCATCGCACAAATCGGCCGCCATCGCACAACACAGGAGATCGTCGCCTCCCTTCCAGTCCGACTATCGGCCAAAAGACTTCCCTTCGTTCCAGCTCCGACGAGAAACACATCAAAACAGGTTCGATTCTCGGTTTTTTTTTGTGTGATATGCGTAGAATGTGATTATTCTTGTTCGTATGCGTAGAATGTGATTGAAGGGATTATCCACATGGTGTTTTTAGGGGATTTTTGTGTTAAATGTGTTTAATTTCTGGATGTTTTTAGCTTTTTATGTTGAATCAATCAATCTTTAAAAGGAGAATGTTGCTTCTTTGCTGAATAGAATACGCTGGAAGGTTGTGCTTGTTGTTCAACATTAATTTATTTGTTCTTTGTGTTTGTTTAACATTAAACTCTTCAATAAATTGTCAAAGTTCTAACTAGTTAATTTTAGAATCAAAATTCATCCCAAACAATCCCTAAATAATTTCAGTTCTACATTTCTTTTACAATGGTTTAATGTTACAATGACAAATTGCCCTCAACTTTGATTTCAAAAGCAATTCATTTGATTTTAAAAGGTCAAACATTGATTCTTTCACATGTTGTTGTAATGTTATGTAATGTTATAAAATCTGAAACTATTTGTTTAAATGTTATGAAATTAGAATCATTATTTGCTCAAATTTTTGAAATCTAAAACATGATTGTGTATAAGCTATAAAATCAAAAATCCGATTTTTTATGTTTATAAGCTATAGAATATAAAAGGTATGATGACAATATTGGTTTGGAACAAAATTTGAAATCTTTTTTTGTGTTCAAGCTATGTTGGCAATTTTTTTTTTTTTAAGCTATGAAAGTTGGAATTTTTTTTTGTTTATAAGTTATGTTGACCTTAATTGTTTTATTATTATTTAAGATGATGTTGATTCATTGGTAGGAAATTATTTTAATGTTAAGATTGTTCTTGATCTTCATAAAACTTATGATAAATTACTTTAAATATTAATGTTTTAGGATGTTGGTTTGGAACGAAAGTGAGGACAAAACTTTTCTTAATGCATGTATCCATGAACTAACCACTAATGGTCATGAGGGTTCTGGGCTTAAGGCTAGTTCATGGAAGATAGTACGCGGAAAATTGATGAACGAACACGGTAAAGAGGTTGATCAGAAGCAAATGAGAAACCACTTTGACTACTACAAATCAAAGTATGTTGCTTGGGTGAAACTGAAAAACAAAACTGGCAATATATATGACCCTATAAAAAATAAATTTAACCTGACAGATGAACAATGGAAGGAAGAGGGGAAGGTAATATTTTATAACAAATACTATTATAATTATTTTTATAAAAGATACTAATATTTATAAAAATTGTAAACAGTTGAACAAGTTCGTGTTGTCATTGAAAACTAAACCCCTGCTGTTTCCTGATCATTGCACCCAACTATTTGAAGGGTCGACCTCAACCGGCTTTCAAAGTTGGGGGCCATCTTCTACACTCCCTCGTCCTGTAGAAGAGTTTAGTGCCCATGATTTTGATGATGATGTTCCAATGGAAACCTCAACACAACACGTAGGTGCAAGCGAAGAATCTTCGGGACGTTCAAAAAATACGGAAGTTGGTGGAAACAAAAGAGTTGGTGGAAAAAAGAGAGATGCAAGGGCATTAGAAGTTGAAGAGGAGATTGCCAAGCTTGCAAGTCGTTAGTGGAAAAAAATGAAAGAATTGAAAAAAGTGAAATGGATAAGGATGTTGATGCGTGTATGGAGAAATTAAACAAAATGGAATGGGGGAGAAGAAGATGAAAGACACAATACCACTCTTTTTCTATTTGGTGAAAGCGCTGATGTTAGGAAAGTTTGGTTACGACTTTCACATACTAGTTGTGAGTCGTGGGTGATGGGTGCGGGTAGGAAGTATGGTTACCTTTGATGGGTGCGGGTAGAAAAGTTTGGTTATTAGTTTTTTGTTGCATGACTTTTGGATCCTATGTTTGATACTTTTTTGGATGTTACTTTGGATGATGTTATTTGCATGACTTTTGGCTGTTATTGGATATTGAATATGACTTTTGTTATTTACTAGTTTTTTGTTTTATGACTTTTGGATGTTATTGAATATTGAATATGACTTTTGGTGCATGATTTTTTTTTTTTTACTTTAACATGTTACCTAATTGTTTGTAACAGGTCAAGTATGGTTTCTGATGGTGAAGTTGTAGCTTTTCTTTTACTTGTGTTTTATTGGTTGAGGTCAAACCGACATAGACTAATCAGAATTCATAGAATTAGAGATAATGATTCAAGAGGGTACGCGTATACGCAAGATTTGATGTACGGAGACCCTACACAATGTTACGATATGATGCGTCTTACACAAGAGGCATTTGCTTTATTATGCAACCATTTTACCCAAAAAAATTGGTTGCAAGCTAGTAGGACAATAAGCATTGAAGAGAAGATGGCTAGATTCTTACATGTTATAGGACATAATGAACGTTTTCGCGCGGTTAAGGGAAGATTTCATCACTCCACGCAAACGATTCATCAATGTTTTCATGAGGTCCTAACTGCAATGATGTGTTTTGCAAAAGAAATTATAGTACCAACAACTCCTAATCCAACAAGACATAACTCGGAACAACATAGACGGTTAAAAAATATTTTTTCCGGAGCAATAGGTGCATTAGATGGAACTCTTGTACATGCGGTTGTACCCGTTGATCAACAAACTCGTTATAGGGGACGAGGAAAATGAGAATGTTTTCAAAATGTTATAGGAATTTGCGATTTTGATATAATATTCACCTTTGTTTGGGCTGGATGGGAGGGTATAGCACATGATTCAAGAGTTTTGAAAGAAGTTGCACTCAATTCGACTTCTGGATTTCCATTTCCTCCACCGGGTTTGTAATATTTATATAACTTTTATTATCTATCTTCTTTATATAATATATGTCACATTCATTTGCAGATAAGTATTACCTTTGTGATGCCGCATATACAAACACTTGTGTGTTTATGGCTCCATACCGCAATACTAGTTATTGGTTAGCCGATTTTCGAAGAGGTAGACCTTTAACTAGAGAAGAAATGTTCAATCATGCCCATGCACAACTTAGAAATGTTATTGAGCGTGCTTATGGTGCATTGAAGGCAAGATTCCCAATCTTAAAACAAATGGCTCCTTATCCTTTTACAGTGCAAAGAGACATAGTCATTGTTTGTGTTGCGGTCCATAATTTTATAAGGAAATACAATATAGAAGTTGACTTGTTTAGAAATTTTGAGGAGGATACTATGGTTACTCCTGACGTCCAAGGTAGGGGAATTGATAGAGAAAACATACAAGGCATAGAATGGGCTCCAGAAGCCGTTGAATATATGCGTGTTTTGTGTGATCAGATTGCAAATCGCCTACTTTCACCTACTTTACGTTAAATTATTATGTTATTTTAAATTTCATTATGTTTTTATTTGGATATTAAACGATTTATGTTTAATTTACATTTTGTATGACATTTTTTATTTGTGTGTAATTTACATTTTGTATGACAATATGTATGTTTTTATAATTATTCAGCAACTTACTCCATCATTATATATAACAGAAGGGTAAAATGGTCATTTTTCATCACTCAGCACATTCATTCAGATGTACAATCAAACAACAAAATTTCTTACTCAGTCAGGATTTCTTACCCAGACAGACATTTCCCAGTCAGCACTTTCTCAATCAGCAACTATCAAACGGGGCCTTACTGTTTCTTCCTATTAGAGCATATGGTATCCACAAATGTGGTAACATCATGTTAAGAGGAGAGAGATAGAGAGAGATAATTTGGCAACAATAGGTGATCACGTTTCTTCTTGTCATGGAGACAACAAGAAGCACCACAACAAGATGCAACAAGAAGGGGGGGTGTTTTTGATGTTATAATGGCGTTATGGGCTGCCAACTCAGCCACAACAAGAAGTAACACGACCCACACCGTATGCTCTTAATATGCCTACCCACTAGAAACATGACATATGTCATCATTCTCTAATTCCATTTAATTTTAGTTGATATCCCTATAATACCCATAATGAGGTAATTGAAAAAAAAAACACGTAAACAACAAGAAGTAAAATCACGTAAACAGTTTCTTCCATACGGCTCCAACATCATTTTCGTTTGGTTCTTCTCATCTGATTGTTCTCGTTCTTCTCTGTTGCACACATCGACATTGACATCAACAACCATAGCCATCATATAGCAACAAGACAACAAGTAATTTTTTCTTACATTCTCGCTGCCCCGTTGGTATGATTATCTTCTTTATTGTTAATATAATTTTTGTTTTATTGTTGAAACAATCTTTGGTTTGATTAGTTGGTTTGTTGTTAATAAAATCTTTGTTTTATTGTTGATATAGTCTTTGATCGGTATGGAGGATGTGGATTTAGGTGAAGGGGATACAATTCTCAATCCTCAAGATCAAAACATTCCTAAAGTTGGAATGATGTTTGATTCAAAAACCGAACTTGAAGATTTGGATTTGGTATACAGAAAGCTAGTACAAGAACAAAAAAATGTATTACCACAACATACTACTTACTTTGGTGTTCCAGAGGAGGTGTATATGAGCCTTAGACGAACAAACCATATCTAAAGTCTTCTAAAACAGATTGTCAAGCAAAAATTTGTGTAATTGCATATGGTGATGGAAGATGTACTATCTCTCATGTTTTTCTTGAACATAATCATGCTTTAAGTCCCAAAAAAAAAATATTGTTTTCATTGATCACATAAGAAAATGGATTCATATGCCAAGAGAAGACTTAAGTCGAATGATTATGCTGGAATTCCATTAAACAAGAGTTTTCATTCGTTAGTTGTTGAAGCAAAGGGGTATGGCAATTTGTCATTTGGCGAGACAGATTGTAGATCTTACATTGCAAAAGTAAGACAACTAAGACTTGGGCAAGGGGATGCTGAGACACTTCGTAATTATTTTGTTCATATGCAAAAAAGAAGTTCGAATTTTTTCTATGTGATTGACATGGATGATGAAGGTTGTATGCAAAATGTATTTTGGCAGATGCAAGATCTAGGGCAGCGTACGAGTCATTCGGAGATGTTATTTCATTTGAAAACACGTATTTGATGAACAAATATAATATGTCGTTTGCACCTTTTGTTGGAGTAAATCACCATGGACAATCTATCTTATTTGGATGTGGTTTGCTTTCTCGATAGGATACATAAACATATGTATGGTTATTCAAGTCATGGTTAGAATGCATAAATGGAAGGGCACCAAAAGCAATAATAACAGATCAATGTCGATCAATGCAAGGAGCTATGGCATAGGTATTCCCCGAATCTCATCATCGTCTTTGTCTTTGGCATATTATGAAAAATATAAATCTAAAAAACTAAGTAGGTTGGATCAATATAAAGTAATAAAGAAGACTCTAAAAACCCTTGTGTATGAGTCTACAGACACTCAAGAGTTTGAAGATGGGTGGTGCAAGCTGGTTGAAAATTATGGACTTGAAAAAAATGAGTGGTTATGTTCTTTATTCAACGATCAAAGTCGCTGGGTGCCAATATATGTAAAAGTAAACTTTTGGGCAGGGATGCCTACTACACAACGACGTGAAAGCATGAATGCTTTTTTTGATGCGTATGTTAATTCTAAAACATCATTACGATAATTTGTTGAGCAATATGACAATACGCTAAAAAGAAAGATTGAGAAAGAAAATAAGGCTGGTTTTGAGTCTCTTAATTAGTAATTGGGTTTTATTTTGAGAGGCGGTTTCAGGAAGCGTACACAAATGAAATTTTTAAGTTGTTTTAAGATGAGTTACGGGGTATGTTGTTTTGTAATTCTTTATTGGTCAAAGTGGATGTGCACAATATGCATTTCATGTCACATATATTATCGAAGGGAAACATGGAGATTTAAAAAAAAAAGTTGCTTATACCGTTAGGTATGATGCAATTGCATTTGATATACAATGTCCTTGTCATTTGTTTGAGTTTCGCGAAATTATTTGTAGGCATATGGTGAAGATATTGATTGAGAAGGATGTTAAAGAAATTCATCCACGGTGTATTTTGTCTCGATGGAGGAAGGATGTGAAGCATGAACACTAATCGGTGATAAATTGTTATGAAGATTTGATGAGTGGTGAAAATGCTAAACAATTTGACCACTTGTGTTCTGATTTTTATGAGGTTGCGCATATTGCTAATTCTCACGAAAAGTATGAATAATTGCTAAGTTGTATAAATATGGCTAAAGAAAAGTTAAATGATGATTCATTATGGGGTTGTAGTAGTAACGTAAATTTGATAGTTGAAGATGTTCATGTTCTAGACTCGACTAAAAAATTGTTACCACCCTTGCAAGTACGTAGTAAATGTCGTCCACCATCCAAGAGAAAAGAATCTAGAGTATAACGGGTTATGAAGAAGAATAGAAAGAAAAGTGTAATATTTTATCTATTTAGATTTTTTTTTTTGTTTAATATAGTTTTTTAATAACTGTGTTTTTTTAGGTACTTGAGAAAACGGATAACATACAACAAGATCCAACGGGTCTAAGTCGTGAGCGTGGAGCAATTTCCTATAATGATGAGCCGAACTACCAATTTGATCTTAATCTATCGGTTTGAACAAGAAAGACCGATGAATATGTGGAAAAGAATGATTTTCAGTTTTAGTTATTTTTAGATTAGTTGTTTTGAAACTACCAATTTGATCTTAATGTACCGGTTTGGAATAATTATGATTTTATTTCTTTGAGGTTCAAAAGATGTTGCAATGTGTACTTTTATTAAGTTTCCTATGATGTATACCAATAAAGTTTTACATGATAGATACAAATGGAACCAAAAATAGCAATGCACTTTAAAAATTAAATCAAGAATAGCAATGCACTTTCAAAATAAAAAGTGGGACAAATTACAAAAAAAAAAAAAAAAAAAAAAAAAAAAAAAAAAAAAAAAAACAAGAGTTACAAATAGAGGGACATTTATGTCCAAATATTTAACAAAATGGAACATTTGGCCATTTTTGTCCCGGTTTACAAAATACAATACAGGGGCATTTGTATCCACATGAGAAATGAAACTAATAGACATTTTAATAATATCATCTAGAAGAAAGAATAGATACATCGAACTTCTTTTGACACAAAAACACTTTCTATATCAAGTATATGACCTTGCTAACCACAATGACAACAACTTCCAAGATATCTCCTTTGAAATGTCAAAACACAACACATTGATACTTAAAAGGAAAAGTAACAAAACCAATGTTATTCTTAAAAAATAATAGATACATGAGCTTAGTTTAATACAATAATTGATATTGAACCCAAATGGTGTATTGTTTCTGCCTAATGACATGTCCATTTTCTTCTCTGTCAATGCTATTGCAGCGATTATAAGTGGTTTTGTAGCCATCTGCACAAGTTCCTCCAAACATTTAAGCTTGATAAAGTGAGACAAAAAATTATGTGATATACACATTCCATGACATAATGAACGATTGAAGATTCAATTGCAAATTAGTTTCCAGATTATATCAACAAAAAAATATTGGCACTAACAAACTCATTCAATTGGTAAAAAAATCATACAATATCTCCTTCGAATTCCGTTTATGGATAATAACATTTAAATTTCGATAAACCTATGGCTAAAAATCAACAATTTGATTTACTCCTTGTTGGTCTTCAAAAAAGTATTTTATTTGATCTTCGTTTATGGGTTTTAATGCATTCTTCATATTACACAGGTAACAGTTCTACCAAAATACACAGTGGGATTCCATAGAAACCTCAAGTTGATCAATACAACAAGGTTCGATGCATTCCAATCAGAATCCAACCTGTCAACAACAACATAATCAGAGTATGAATCGGGCTCCTTGTGCTGATGATAAATATGTGGCGATTGGCGATATCAATTGAAGATTAGGAGGCAACAATTAGGGGTGTCGATTGAAGATTAGCAGTGATTGAAGATCAGTAGAAGCGAGTGGGGGTGTCGATTGAAGATCAGTAACGATTGAAGATGAGTAGAAACGAGCGGAGGTGTCGATTAAACATCATAGAATGTAGAAGATAATGGAAGATGTCAATGAAAAAAATAAGAGGAAAATAAGAGGACGTTTGATCTTACGTGAATCTTCTTCTTCTTTTTTTTATTTTTTCTTTTTAAATTTTTAATTACCTCGGTAAGGGTATTATATGGATATCAACTAAAATTAAATTTAATTAGAGAAGGATGACATATGTCATCCTCATCATTCTATGGTAAGTAAGTCTCAAACTTGCCTAGTAGCATCTTAGATCTCTTTATCATCATTTTATGGGGTTTTCGGTCCAAGAATCTTTACATTTGGGACATGGACGTCCCAAGTGAGTATGCTTTCAGATCTGGAATCATGGAGGGCTTTCATGGTGTAACACCCATAAAATCATGCCAGATTAAATTTTTAAAAACATTTCAAATACCAATAGTTATTACAAAAAGGTTTCCAAAATAGTTTCATATCAGGGTATCTCAGAAATCCAAATCAAATATGAGGAAGTGTACGGTCACGACTTTGCCTTCCCGCAACCATCCACTATACCTGAAACAATAATTGATAAATGTAAGCTTGAAGGATTAGTGATTTGCCCCCAAAATACCAACCTCATACAACCATAACATATCATATAACAAACACAGAAAAGCATGCATCTTGAGTCTACAACATGACTGGTTCGCCCATACTGGGCCTTCAGTCCACCTGGTCCACTCTCTGAGTCTACAATATGACTGGACCGCCCGCACCAGGACTTCAGTCTATTTGGCCCACTCTACGAGCCTCGAAACATTTGGACCGCCCTTTCGGGGCCTTCAACTTATTTGGATCGCTTTTCGGGCCTTCGGCCTGACTATATGCCCTCTTGGGCCTACAGACTATCCGATCCACTCTGGACATGTTGGTCTACAGCACGAAGCAGGACCCACCTCAACCCAACCCCCATACAAACAACCAATCATGTGCATATAATATCATATGATATCATGTATATAACATATAATCATACCGATCTAACAGATCATTAACACAGTAACCATCCTATAACTAGGATACCGACCTAATCGGTCACTAACATAACATCATCATATATACCGGGATACCGACCTAAACCAGGTCACTAAACATAATACCATTCTACCTACCAGGATACAGATCTAGCAAATCAATAAACATATCAAGCAAATACCCGGATACAAATCCGATAAAGGGTCGGCCTTGATGCCTTAGACCCTACTGATATAGTGAGGATAACTCACCTTGCAATGTCGAGCTGGACCATGAAATCACGCTCTTGAAATACTGCCCCAAACTCCAATACCTATATCCACCGATGATCCATTTTCATAAATACCCATTTACCAAATACCCTCAGAAGTCAAACATGGTCAACTCTGGTCAAAGTCCAAGTCAACAGTCAAGGTTAACAGTCCATGTTAACCCAACTCGTCGAGTCCAACTACCGACTCGTCGAGTTCCTCCAAAACTCAAAAACCAGCGAAATCCCTGAGTCAACTCGCTGAGTTTCCCCACCAACTCGTCGAGTCCACGCGTCTAAAAGTCGGGAAGAACCTTAACTGACTCATCGAGTCCATACAAAACCAATATGGACAATCTTCAACCGACTCGTCGAGTCAACCATATAACTCATCGAGTCCCATTCAGTCTATCACTCATTCAAACGATTTTAAGCTGCTCTAAAGCTCCAAATAGTAGATATATGCTCCTGGGGTGTTGTTATCACGTAAAGTTGCTAACTTTACGTGCATGCAAGGTTTTATGAAGCTAAAACACTCATAACTAGAATTAGGAGAAGGTTTTGGACATGAAGGAGGGATAAGGCTTCATAAATCTTGAGGCTTTATGTCCATAAGGCCTTGGGAAGTCAAGATCTGCAACTATGCCCCTGTGACAAGCTCAAATCCGAGTGTGACTCCATAATGCCCTAGACATGACCATTTCCTTTACCAAAAAGGGAGATCTAAGCAATGAAATGTAAATATGGTAGCTTTATACCTCAATCTTGTTGTCACAACACTGGAAAGTCTGGATCTACAAGCTCTTCCTTGTTCCACGCTCTTAACTCCTCAAGAAATGCTCCAATACACTATCTTTTGGTCTCACACACTCAAGAATAGAGACTAGCTAGCTATTAGGGTTTATCTGGTCGTGAAGGTGATAAGGGAGGCTGAGGAGGAAAGTTAAGGACCTTTAAATAGGGTGCAAACCCTAAAAATTAGGGTTTTCAGTTTTCACTTTCCAACACCTACTCGTCGATTCGGGTACTCTAACTTGTCGAGTAGGGTCTAAAATCCACACGACTGATTTGATCACTGCTCGATGAGTTAGCCTATCTACTCGTCGAGTCGCCCTTAAAACATGACTCTTAGAGCTTTAATCTGATTGCGGGAAATCGGGATGTTACACATGGCACAAAGGTGAAAACTTTATTACAAGTGAAGTCCCATGCAACCCATAGGATGTTACTTTGGCCTTTTAAGCTCCAAAAGGTCATGCATGGAGTGAAATGTGGAAGCATTACGTGTTCATGTAGTATTTAGGGCCTAGATCTCTATTTGTATGCGTTAATTTGGTGTATGGATGAATTGTTGACCATGATCTAGGTCTTAAAGGGTTAGGGTTTGAGCTGAACCCATAAAGTAGAGGTATTAACAGGTAAAGATGGAAACTTTACCCTTAAAGGATGTTTCCAGTGTGCCTGAGAAATAAGAAGCTTAGATCTGAAGAGTGGGGGCTTAATCCATTAAGAAGGCCCAAACAGACTGAGGAACTCTACGAGTTGAGTCAATTTGTCCCGATTCTATACCAGGTAGAGCTCGATGATTATGAGGAGCGACTCGACGAGTTGACTCACTTTATCGCAACTACGAATAACAAGGGAACTTAGCGAATCAGGGGGATGACTCGACAAGTTGGATCGCGATCGTCAGGATTTCTGATTTATAGAACTCGACAAGTTGAGTCAACCCAGAACGTTGACTTTGATAATAATGTTGACTTTGATCAGGGGTAAAGTAGTAATTTACCCTAAGAAATATTTAGGATATTGATTAAGTGTTATTGTGATGATGTTAGCTAGGGAGTCCCAAAAGCATCCGATAGAGATTTCCTTACCAAGAGATTCAACAACTAGCTTTGTGAGGTGAGTTTTCCTCCAGTAGGAACGAGTTGAAGGCACCAATGTCGGCCCGTTTATGTATGTTAGCGTATGCTGGACTGAGTTTTCCTCCAGTAGGAACGAGTTGAAGGCACCAATGTTGTGACATCCCCAAAATCACGGCCAGAAAAGACCGGTTTTGTTTATACTTTATTTCAAAATCAGAGTTATCTTTTAATAAAAGGGTTGCGGAATTTGTCCCAAAACAATAATATGATAAAGATTTATCAAAAGCATTTCCATAGAAATGTATTTCATTAAAAGACTCGGGATGTCATGTTCGTACAGATCAAAAGTATAAACAGTACAATATAAGCCTTACTACATTATTTCATATCTACAGGCCTATATCCGTAATCCCTCGTCCAAAACATCACACCTATGCTCATGCGCCACTACCTGTAATGCATAAAACTGAGTGGGTCAGGCTTGGGAGCCTGGTGAGCACATAGGGTTTTCAACCCACAATAAGTTTATTAATTTCA